CTTGCCCTCTTACAATTTGAATTGAAGTAGATGACCTTTAATAGATCTCTTTAAAAAAAAAAAGACATGAAACTAAAAAAAAAATTGTAAAGAGCCAAAAGATCATTTCTCTGCACAATTTCTATATGATCAACAGCGTAACAACAATATGATTTTAAAGGGTGTAAGGTATGCTTTTGAAACTATAGCTACAAAATCAATTCACTTCTATTTTAGTGGCTGAGCTGGCCCTGCTCTTGCATTGGTTTCAGATTCCTGTGATAAACAACAAAAGGAAGAAAAAAAATTAAGTCAAGAAAACAGTATCTTTATTGAAGTTGTATATGTATAACTGAAGAACAGGGGGGGGAATCAAGAAAGTTAAGTTTTAAGAAGAGTTGGATCCAAATATATAAAGCAATATATACTAGTATAATGGATGAAACATAATTAGGAAAGAAAATTCATATTGCTGAAATTTAATTTGGCAGCAACTCGCGTCATGAACAGCATCTGGGATCAGTTTCATATGGTTTTCACCTGTAAAATTAAAAAGCAAAATTTACTTCAAATGGAAATGGTTGCATATTTCATTTTCATTAAAAAAAAATTGGCATTAATAGTTAGTTACCTTTCAATCAATATTCCAGATAACATCCTGTGGCACTGTTAGGGAGCCAATATACCTAAAACAATAAAAGTTTGGACCTGCTTTTCTTATTAAGAACCAATATCTGTTTTACCTTTCTTTTGTTAAGAGCACTACTTAGCAGAGCGATAAGGTATGAGTAGCATATGCTTGGTCACTTCCATCTCCTTAAAGAAGATAATTTCAATGCAAACATTGCAACAAGAGAACTTAGAGAAATATATTTATCATAACCAAACGCCAAGAAAGATATCCTTTTGCGTACAAAGATGGCAGTAGTGAATATAGGATGTTTTCCCTCGTATCTGAGCTAGCTCTCCCAAATAGATAGAGATGGATCAGATACATTCAAGAAAAAAAATAATGTTTGACGGAGAATTGAAGAAGTAGCTAACCTGGAAAATTGGAAGAAACAATCTTGAGAAGATTAAGCCAGATTTGACCAAAAACTGAAGTAGCTGACTTGATAATTGCAAGTACAATTAAAGATGAACAAATGAAGAAGAAAACGTTTGGAAATTGACAGAACAAACAAACAGGAAAGAGTAAGAAAGCTCTTCCCTGCTTGGAGCAAAAATGTTTTGGGTGCAGGCATGAAAGGCAAAATCAGTGGAATAAAAACTTTGTGGTGGCTAATGGAGTGAGCAACTGAAATAAGCAAAGAAAAATGTCTAAAGGAAATACCAATATTACCCTTGGTTGTAAATCAAGTTACTTATTATATGTCGTCTACAAGTAGAACCAAACAAAAATCTTTCAATACTGTCCCTCTCCTCCGATAAGGGAAAACCACACACATCACCGACATCAGAATAAGCAGCACAGGCTCACATACCTTAACAGAAGTGTTGAGCCAGTGCAAACCAAAGTTCACTTGGCAGCAGAATCATTGCTGAACAAACGGTTGTGCCAACATCTAGGAGCTCGTTGATGGAATGTCGCTTGTTCAACAATGGTTGTCTGTCAAGGGAACTATAGTTTAGCTTATGGTAGATCAAATGGTCACTCTTTCAGAATTCTGCAAGGAAAAAGATAAATCAGTTGGTTAATACTTATATATGTAGATTTTGTCTAAAGAGGACAATGTTACCAGTAAAATAAGCAGTAATATGAAGTGATGAAATGCTGACAGATATAGGAAGTGACCAAGGACAGTTCTCAAAGCCATTCGATTTACGTGGAGTCCAGGCTGTGATCCGAGGGCATAAGAAGAAGTATACTGCACTCTAATGGTTGATAAATAGTATGATTGTATTGTAGTATTAGAAGACAAGATAGTCGTTGAGGTGTTTACTTACGAAGTAATAAAGCTGCTAGGAAGCACTGGGTGTGCAGCTAACTAACAGGAAAGAAAACCAACGGCTAAAATCCAAAATCTGATGAAGATGTGCCTTTTGTGGTACCATTACTGGAAAGTTGGAGCAGAAAGATGCTTGTAGGATAAGTCAGTGGTTGAGTATATTGATATCAGTGGGGTCCTTACCTATAGCAGAAAGAAGCACATAGAACATGCAATCCTCATATCTACATATGGAATAGAGATTTAACAGAAGACTAAACAAAGTGATAAGAGAAGGCCTCAAAGTGAAGACGTTAATAGAAAATATAGGCTAAAAGAAACGAACAAAGGGTAAGTAAAGTTATCGAAGGCTGGAAGAGGCATCATTGATCGGTAGAGATGCCAATTTTCAGAACATTACAAAAGAGCATGAGCTTAAGTGAGAAAATTACAGAAAAGCAGGAACTCACACAACTAATTAACAATTTACAAATTAGTTAGATTGCCCAAAGCTGAAGAGAAAAAATGATAAATAAACATGGCCAACAAGTATATCCAAATCTGCACAACCTAACAACATCATCACATGAACAGAGGGCTAAGATCAACATAATTTTTGATGAACAGGTAATGCTATTAGTGTTCTACAAATATTCCATTCCCTTCGGAAAAAATGCAGTGCTCAGAATTAACAATAAAACAATGTCCATGAAGTACATGGCTACCTACGAGAACGTAATGCAGAAATTATGTAGCTGCATTATATCTATCAAAGATCAGATAAAAAAGGAATATGGGTTAATTCTCATTTCTCAGCATATCCATTAGTTCTCACACTATAGAGTCATTGACCTTATCAGAACATGACATTCTATTTACTGAAATTAATCATCACTGTCGTAAAAGTAGAGTTGCAGATTTATTGGTTTCTGGTCACCAGGATACAAATCATTTATCAGATGGTACATTCATTCTTGAACTCTAAACGTATAGATACCACAATTTCTTCGTATCAAGTCTGTATCGTAATGCACACCAAGCGGTGTAAATGCAACTACTATACGTTCTAATGTATGTCCAGAAGTGTATGTTTTCATGATTTCCTAATTATAGAGCACACAAATTAGTTCGCATTTGGTGTGAAATTATCTTAACCATACGACTGGCACAACAAAATTTACAAATAGAAACTTTTTTAAATGGTACATAGTTTGATCATAGTTCAATATTCAGAGCAGTTCTTATTTTACGAGTGACCTGGATACACTGAACGGTGGAACTGTGGAAGGAGTGAAAGAATGAGAACACATAATGGTATTAATTAAACATGAGACTATTCACTATGTTTGTATTATTGTAGCCCATCATTTCACAATGTATTGTATTATTTTTTGGAACAATGTTTGGGTAGATTGTATCGTTTGTTGTTGACAATAATATTTTTCTTGTTTGGCTTGATTGTATCATGTTATATTGTAACTGGTAAGTTTACTAAAATACCCTAAACTGTTGTATAAAGTAATTTTATCACCAATTTCAAAAAAAATAAAAATAAGACAGCATATTTCTGCTAATTTGTCACAAATTATGCTTTGTAAATATACTTAGTTATTAAATTCATGCAAATTCAAATGAAATTACTGAAACTACGTACATGCAAAAATAAATCTGAATAAAAATTAAGCGGCACTTGCACATTTATAAAATATGGATATATTTATTGTAAACCAGCCTAATTGAAAGATATCAACGATTCAATATTGTTTAAGTATGACAAAAATACTGTTTAGTGGGATTTTGACTAGGTGAATCACATTACCAAATTCCACATTCTTTTAATAAACCAAAAAGAGCTACAATAATGTTTGGGCTTAGGTTTACAAATTTAAAGAAAAAAATCAAATCCAAGCCAAACACAATTAAATTCATGCAACTGATTGTATGAACATAAACTACTAAATAGCACATGCAACATAGAATATGATCTGCTCACTTCAAAAACAACCGAGACATGCAACTCAAACATAATTATTTTCAAAAATATTTTTGGAAAGATACTTTTCTTTTGGGATCAAGTATATCATACATGGTCCAGAACTTATAGCAAAGTAAGTGTTTTTCAACAAGTAGTGTTATTAATTGTCAACTGGCCCAGGCTCTCTTTGCATCTATAACATTGTTTGCATGTTAAAGTTCATAAGAAATAGATGTGATGAAAATAGAGAAATGCAATAAAGATCCTCCATAAACTGAGATATAGTTAAAGCAGAAAAGGAACTTTAAAATATGGTTATGGACAAAAAAAAAAGTACCTGTAATTTCGAAACAAGGGCAGAAAGCCGAGCAAATAACATAGTTAACTATAAAGAAAGAAAAAGAGTACAAACGTAGGATATGGTATTTGGGTGGAGTTAAATAATATAGGGTAAAAAAAACATATTAAGGACATAATTTGAAAGAGAAACTAGGTAACGACGTGATCAAACCAAATAGGTCATTACATAAAAGGGCGCTTTTCATGACGGATTTAGCAATACAATTTAATATATTTTAAATAGAAATCAAAAAAAGTTTTTTTGTAAGATATAATACGATACAATGGGTAACAACGATCCAAACCAGATGTAAAACAAACCTTTAGTAACGAATGGCTGGCTTAGCTGTACAGCAAGGTTTTATTACAAGACCTGATGTTGAACCTGACATAAAAATATTTTTCAATGAGTATTAATGAATTTTGTAGATTCCGCTAAAGTTATGACAACTTTCAGTAACTTACCTTTCTCATAGATGGAGTGAGGATTTCCTTTGTCAAAAGCAGGAAACAAGGGAAGCTCAGTAACTGCGAATATAGCAGGCAATGATCAGACTAGACGTTCAGAATAGTAACTGAAAATGCATATTCATGCTGGGAAAGGAATATGCATTTGCACAAAATGGTGAAACAGAGTGTGCGTTTTTTGAAAAAGGGGTAACTGTAAAACGGTGAAACAGTGTGTTCTATCCAAAGTTCAATAAATTTTAGATCTGATATGTTAACCTATTCTGGAAGTAGAGCAAGAGTTTTTCATATTAAGAGTACGCTTTTCATTAGCCATCATAAGTTTGTAGAGTTCACGGCGCCTAACATTTCTATCATCATCTTTCTTATCAGAGTTGGGGCGTTTGCTTGTTTGTCCAGCATCCATGGATATAAAATTTGTTGCTCCCAAAATTTTTGTCGCTACATGTGTTATACCCTCCTTACTACTGTTGGGCCTGTTCCCCCTAACAATTTATCAAATTAGTAGTATTATTTATATGGAAAATTTTGGATAAAGAAAATATAGAGCAATAAAGATAACTTTCAATGAACAAGGTTTTCGATCCAAAAACCTTCAAAAATCATGCTTCATATTTAGTTAGCAGATCAAGATGAGCAGTGCATAATTTAACGATTAAATCAAGCCAAAGCTTGATCAAGACTTTACCCAAACACTTGACCTACAAGTTCAACTCTTTCCTCTACTTCACCTTTTAACCTCAAACTCAGTAGAAACAAAACTAAACTACTGGGAAAATGAAAGTCAACCAAACTATCAGCAGATAAACCAAGTAGCAAGTCAGAATACAAATTTAAACCTTTAGGGGTCATTTGTAGCTGGTTAGAGTTATGCATGTAGGGATTAGTTATGAGTGAATATATGTATTATTTTATGTTAGTATTAGTTATTCCACCTTCTATCCTGCATAAAATAATACATAGATTCCCTCATAACATAATCATGTATTAGCTATGCAGATTTCTACTTCATCAAAAAAAAAAAAAGCTATGCAGATTTCTAAATTGCAAAGCAAACACTGAATTAACTTTATACATGAATAATACCTCCTAATCAGCTACCATAGTATTACTTATGCAGAATTTAATACCTGCATAACTCACATCTAAACAAGCTATCAAGCGACACCTTAGTTCAAATAGATAATAAATGATGGTGGTTTCTATGGAACCTGATAACATATGAGAACACCATCAGATTGGACTGTTCTTAATAAATGGGGTGTATATAGCGGGGTGACTGAAAGTCTGTATGGAAGAGTGTGGCACCAATTAAGTTGAAATGCTTCACCTGGCTAGTAGTTAGACGAGCTAGAGCTAGTCGGACTCATGACACACTACAGAAAAGGGAAAAATCTACATGGCTTCTAGATGCTCATTATGTAAGGAGGCTTTAGAGACAAACAACCACCTTTTCTACGGTGTAAAGTTACATCACAAGTGTTGGCATTTTTCATCAATTTGGCTAAGGTTAATTTTAAGTTGTTGGATAAGGAGGGGAGGTAGCAAGAGCCAGAAGATTTGGTGCAAAACAATACCTGCCTGTATTTGGTGGAACATTTAGAAGGAAAGAAATGAAAGGATTTTTGAAGGCAAAGAGATCTCCATACAGAAGATGTCGCGTTATCAAGCAAATGGCTAGGCAGGCATGTTGACGAAACAGAGGCCTGAAGCAGGTAAGAGTTGCTTCTCATATAAGAGAAATGTAAAATTTACCTACTAATGTTTTGTCTAATGGCCAAATGCCCCATGGTGTTTTCCGGCTCCTCCTTCAAGGACTCCTCCATCTTATTTATCGACTTAACTGAATTGTACTACCTAATTACCCTTTTTCAAAAACTTCTAGTTCTCTACGGTGTACGAGGACTGCCGGTTATTAACCTAGACTTACTGAATAGGAATTCCACCAAGTTCTTGAACACATGCTGATACGAAATTAGTGCACTGTATTTGGCTTTTGAAAGAAGAAAAGAAAAAGGAAAGATCTCTATACCTTTACCTTCTCGTTTTTCAATCTTAGAATCTAAAGATTGACAATATCCCTTTCATTTTTTTTATACCCCTCTCTTCTTAGTTGCTCATCATTCAAGGAATCTAATGGTTATAGACTACCTACTTGTGGCTTTGTTGAATTACTTACCCCTAGCAGTAGCAAGGACCCGCAACTCTCAAAGGGGTTACCAACCAGCCGAATCACTACAGCAAACCCTCTCTTTACTTAATCGATAGCGTTTATTCTCTTTCAATAAACAAAATGAGAAATTGGGGAGAAAGAAGAAAAGCTAAATATGGTGCGTGAAAGCTGGACCGGCACCACGGTCATCAAACAAAAAAAGAAGAAAAGCTAAATATGGTAATGAAACCAGTGTTGACATTTGCTACCTAAATGCCATTGGACCCTATACCTCACTGACCAAAGACACAGGCGCATAGTATTGGACTAAATTATGACCACTGTATACCTGTGTCATTGACAAATATAAGGCAGTCAAGCATACATATTGTTTTGTAGTAGATTTCTTGCAAAACGAGCAAAATTAAAGTAATGCTAAAGGAGGAAATACCAACAAAGAAACTCAAACAGTTGCCTTTCTTGAAGCAAAATACTTCAGCAAAGAGTGGTTGCATGAACTTTCTAGCTAGTACATCAACAGAACCCCTAATGCAACTGCATGTTAATGGCAACTGAAATTGGAATTTCAGTCAAGACGAAGACTAAAATCCTATCAGCAAGATGTAGAAGAGAAGAGGAAGATGAAGGAACCTTGTTGTCAGATCAACACAATAAAAAGAAAGGCATGTGATCATGACAACTAAATTCTGTTCATAAAGTGGCCTTTAGAATTACCACCGAGAAAATTGGATAGAAACAGTAGGCAGTTAGCTTGCAAACAACAATCCAAGACTATTCTACCATTCTTAATGCAAGAGTTTGGCACCCAAGAGCAAAAATATCGTCATACACTTTAATTGGAGTAATGATGGGCAATTGTTGGATCTGTGATTACGATTTATTGGACTGAGTTGGGTTATACGTATATCCTTAAAAGAACCGTTAAGTTGCTGGAAAGAAAGAAGGATCACAAGGAATCTGAAGATAACTTGGAAGACTGTTCCAGCATGTACTGTTTGGGTCTTTTGGAGTAATAACAGGTATAGTTACCCAAGGAAGAAACACAACAGATCCTCTACCAAATTAATTTTTTTAAAAAAACAGATCCTCTACCAAATCCAATTTCAGTAAATAGGCAGTGCAAAAGTTTTCTAGTATACTAAAGAAACCCAAGGTGCAAAGACTGAAGGAAACAGCAAAGCACCAGCCAATCATTCCCTGCTATAAGATCAACGAATTATAAAGAAACAAAAAACTCTACAACGCATATGAAGAAACTAAGTTCTGTTCATAGAAGTGATTTTTGGCAGTACCACTGAGGGTCGACATATTTGCCTAGAAGCAGTAAGTCAACTTTTCAACTATAATCCAAGACAGATAGATAGAAAAACACAGGAACCATATAAGTATCATGCACCAAACATCCACCAGGAAAGAAATTAAGACAAGTGTTTACAGTCTGCCTTTAAAACAAAGAGTTCCAGTACCCTAGAGTATTAAATGTGCCACACACTTCTGGCACATGGAAACTTTGACCTTCCACAATACATCAAAAGAGGTCTTCAATGTCAGCCTGAACCCTGCAATGCAATGTAATGTTTGCATGAAATTGAGAAGACTTATAAGAGAAAACAAGTTGGCATATGCTTAAGGGATCAGCACCTAAACTTCAGTGACTAACTTCAATCAAAAACTTACTGAGCTAAAGGACTTCAAGTGCAACATAGCTAATTAATTGGACAATGAAGGTTTTTTGACTTGCATGCTCTTCCTTTCTTTCTTCCGCAATCCACTCATGTGAGAAAGAGATGCACTCCGCATTCTATATTTAGATTTTGCCCTTGAGATCCTTCTTTTCCCATCTTTGGGGTCTCTCTTCCATAAATCAGATGACTCCTCACAAGCATCTCCAACACAATTATTTGTCCATCTATCAGGTAAAACAAGGCTCTCTTTGTAAAAATTAACATAGCGTGGATTGTAACACCAATCATTTGATGAGTTACCAATGTCAACATCTTTAAACCTATCAATTGTATGATCAACTGAAACCAATAATCTTTGGTTACCTTTCCATAAGATTTCACCATTTTTCCTTATAGCCATTGGCTTCATAAAGTCAGTAGCAATCTCAAACTCAGTTGGAGCAGCGCTTCCACAATAAGGTGTCCAAAAAATGTCATCACGAAGAGGAATATGTTGTGGAAAGTGATAATTTTGGATGCTGAACTGTTTCTCCCAGGAGTCTGGTGCACCATACTCTTTCATCATCCAAATCTTAATAGGTTCACGTTTGTCATAGTTATTATCAACCAAACAAAGAGATTCCTCTAACACAAAAAGGAAGACTTCATCAAAATGTGTTTGTGACTCATTGATTAAACTACTCGGCAATATCATATCTGAGAATGTCTCATCATGCATGTTGAACACAACAATCACCCTCCAATCCCTCCGAGCTGGTATAAACTCCAATTTGGTAGTAATCCAATGACAAGCGCCGTTCACATACACCTGTGGCGCAATGGCAATGAATATGTAAGGCCCAAGGACATGGGTAATGTCTTCCCAAACACCAGTACTTAACTTATAAAGATCAGCATGAGGTGACACAGAATGACCCTTAGTGTGTACTACTCTTACCACCTTGTAGTCATTAGTAACCGGATCAAACCCAAACCCCAGTGTATAACCAAAGGTATTGCGATCATTACATAAACAAACTGGTTCTGGGAGTTTTACCGACTTTCTGATGGATAGGTTACAAAAATATAAATGGGTCAAGGTGTCAGTATCGGTGTCGGTGTCGGCAAGGCACAAAATACCATTAAAACTACCCACTATACTAACGGAACCTCTACGAAATAAAAAATCTAAGAAATCGTCCGGATCCAACCTCGCATTGTTACCAAACAAAGGATACATATCTATTCTTCGGGTGTTTTTAGCGAAATTCCGAATCAGCATATGATCATCTCGTTTTCGATTGAGATGTGTGAAGGTAAAGCTAGGGCTAGTAAGAAGAGAATACCATGACTTGCAAACACTTCTGCATCGGAGGATTGATTTGACTGGTAGTTTTGTGAAGATGTCAAGCAGCAATTCTTGGGGCAAATAATCCGACATATCTCTCCGGCGACGGATCTATTCACCTGAGCTGAATTTCTCCGTTCTTCGTTAGCTAAACAAACCCCAATCTTCTACCCCTTTGTGGTTGAACCCTAAAATCAGCTTCTATATTATATTTTCAGTTTAACACTAAACTTTCTGGAAACAGAAAAAGTTATATACAGTCAATTTTGCATTTAGTGCATGTATACACTGGTCGTCTATAATAAATGGTATATATTTATTTTTTCGTAAAGATATTGAATTATTTTATTTTTTAAATATTTATATTGACTTTTGTAGTTTCAAATTTGTCATCTAGCTTAAAAAATTAACTTACTCATTTTTTATTTCTCTAGACTTGACTTTCTAAATAAACGCAATTCTTCTTTTATTCAAGCTCGATCCAAATTTATTTTATGATTGGGTAGAAAAGAGATTGAGCTTTTTTTTTTCATTTGAATTGAGTTTGGACGGGTAAAAATAATAAATGTGATTTTTTAAACTGACGTGAGATTTTTTGAATTAGAAAATCACTTTTAGATTTTTAATTTAGTAAATATAAGTCTATTAACGAAAAAGATAAATATGAATAATTTGTTAGACTGTGGGGTACATATACACCATTTTTTTAATGAGTCATATAATCAATCTAAATCGTAAAATTGAGGGAAGTATTTGCCCATTTTCCATCTCTCTATTTTTGTTGATACATACTTTTATAATCTAATTTAAATTTGAACACATATTTATTCTAAACCTTTAGTTCTCATTTCTTTGTCTTCAATTTTATTATCCTATGTAGCATTTATTTTAGATAAAATATTTTCTTCTAATTTAAAATCTTATCATAATTAAATTCGATCCAATTCGCAAGTAATTTTTTTTCAGGGTAAATCTTATTATAAAAATAAATATCTTATTACAAGTTTTTATTTTAGTAAAATAAAAAATCTTACATAATAATGAAGTTTCTCTTATTATATTGTATTTAAATATAATAATTAGCAATTTTGATAGTGTATTTTTTGGGGAAAAATTTATATTAAAAATGACTAAAACTTCGCTATTTTGAGCCAATAAATCACCTCATAAGTTGAGTTATGGCCAAGTATTTTTTTTTACTAATTTGACCCAGAAAAATTTACACTCAAAATTTAATAAATTTTAAAAGGTAAATATATATATATATATATATATATATATATATATATATATATATATATATATATATATAAAAGGTGACACTTCTGTAAAAAAAATAAATCTATATGACATGCGAGTGTATCACTATGGTAGGATGAGATCGTCCGGGAGGAGTTAAGGTTATCAAATAGCCAAGTTCATGAGATATTAAGACTAATGATAATTTGGATATGCAATTAGCGATCTTTAAGGTATTTTGTCTTTCTATTTATTTATTTATTTATTTATTTATTTATTTATTTATTTTTCAGTTTAACCCTAAAAGTTTTTCAAAGTTCGGCGTGGTCCTTTTCTCTATTATTTAAAAGATTAAAAAAAATAATAGAAATTTGAAAAACTCGTCTATTATTAATTTGACTTGATTTAGTTTATAAATATAAAAACTAGATCTTTCATTTGATTTGATATTGAAATTTTTTAACCAACTTTGACTATGTACACCCTAATTAACGAGGAGTAAGTACTAGATGTTCCTCAGGTTTGATTTATTATCATAATGGTTTGACCTGATAGATTTTGAACTATTTTCGAACATTTTAGTTTGCAATTGTGTTAAACACGTTTAACTCTAGTAGTTGTTCTACTTAGTTTAACAAAACTTTTTAGTATAATAAGATACTCATGGTGCCATAACAAGAGGAAATAGCAACCCACAACCCAATCATTTACTTGAACTTCATGAATATCCAATAAGATCAACAAATCAATCATCAATCAATCAATATATATAAAGCTAGATAAAAAATGAGTGACATGACACCTCTCAATGGCCAAATATCCTATTTATTTATGTTTGTGATTTTTTGACATTTTCTTTAATTTTTTCTAATTATTTTATTTCATAAAATCATATTCTTAATTCATACTAACTCTTTAATTACATGAATTCAACTCTTAATTAATTTAGTAATGTATATAACTCCTAATCTTCCATACTCATAACCTTCAAATTATTTAATATACAAATTTACAACTCCTTAAAATCACACTTATAAAAACCTTCTTTGAGACATATTTAATGATTATTTTATTTTCATTTTTCTTATTCTTCATTATTTTTCTCTTTGGTTGATCTGATTTTGCGTCTAAATTTTGTTATGAATCCAAGGTGACAGTGTTAGATGCAGGGTCATACTGCAAATTTGAATGTGATGCCATTGACTGATTTCGTAAATGCATCATTGGGATCTTTCTTTACAAAAGAAGGATGTAGATAGACATGTCAATTGGGTCGGCCCGTACAGTTTTAGCTCATTAAGATCGTCCCAATAAGGCCCAAACCGGAAGCCAACCCCTATATTAGTGGGGTGAGCCGGTTCAAATTATTTTCTCTCACAAGCCGGTAAGAGATCGATACGCGGCAAATAGTGAATTGGTATGGACCGATCCAGTAATTAAAAAAACTAAAATTAAAAGGAACTAAAATGTAGGTGATATCCGTTGGCCAACGGCTATCCACTTTTTGGAGAAAAAAATGGCCAAAATGATATTTAAAAAATAAAATTAATACACAATTTTTTTTCTATAGATAGCTACACATTTCTTTATTTTTCCTAAATCAAATCTTCTAGTTCTTTCTCATTTTCTCAATTCTCTCTTATGATAGCAATTTTATATTATATTTTGCAATTAACAATATTCAGTGGAAGTTTTCAACTTTCAAGTGTTCAACATTTCATCAATTTTACGGTTCTTTTTTTATTTTCGTCTTCCGACAATTTGGTATAATATAATGTAAGTATGCTACTATAATGGATAGTATATAGTGTGTCTATATGTCTGTTTGATATACATTGTAATTCTTTCTCATTTTCTCAATTTTCTTTTGTGATAGCAATTTCATATTATATTTTGCAATTAACAATATTCAGTGGAGGTTTTCAACTTTCAAGTGTTCAACATTTCATCAATTTTACAATTCTTTCTTTATTTTCATCTTCTGACAATTTGTTATAATATAATATTAAGTATTCTAATATGACTGTTTGGTATACATTATAAGTATATTTAGCATATTTGTCATAAATAGTTTTAATTATTACAAAATTTAATAGATAACAATATACTATATTGTTAATTGCATCAAACTTTCAAATTAATAATTAATAAAAAATAATGGTCGGTTCGGCCCATTATTATAAATCGGGCCCGGTAGCAATGCCCTAATTGAGTGCAGACCAGTTTTTTTGTCTTCTTTCACTATTTTGATCGATACCGGTCCGCTCCATTATTGGGAGGATCGGGTTCGGTATATCAATAAAAAAAATGAGTCAGATTGGGCCGCCCCGCCCAGTAAACAGACTTAGATGCAGGAGTTGGGGATTGAACAATGACGCCTTGGACAATTTTGACTATCATTTCACTTTTAGGTACTCGTATCCCATGATTGTTAGGGTTGATGTTAACACTAAGATGAAAGGAGATAATGAAATTGATGGTGATGGTGGGGTGACTGAACATAAGCATGCTCATTTTTCGACCATGACAGATTCATTTAATATGTCTAAGTCGATGATGAATGACCGTTCATCATTCATCAAGCTCTCGCAGTCATGGTGCAGAGAAGCATTCTAAAGTTGAGGTGAATTGTGGTGATATTGGGTCAACAATTACTGTGAAAGCCACTTGTAAATAAGATATCATTATATTTAAGTTTGACCTCTAAGCAAGGTTTTCCAACCCTATGAGGATGTGCTAAGAGGTTTATACTACAAATTGGGACATTCCTACTCAAGTGTCTTAATGGTGAAGAAGAATAGGCGATGTTGGTAAATAATATAGATTTGCATGAGTGTCTTGAGATACTGAATTTTGGTGGTGGTCATACTATCAAATTTCTTGTTCGCGCTACATCTTATACTCTAGTTAGCTCAGGCAACAATAACTGTTTTTTGGCTAGTGCCTCTTAACAGCCTCATGCAGGTCTGAAAGCTTCAATCAATATCTGGTACTTAAAATGATAACAATGTCACTCGGATGATTTCGAGAGTTGCTAGTTTACACATGAATCAATAGTAGTATGTCCAGTAGAGCTTTTCCATCAATGGCCAAAGATCCTATTTATCTTTTTTGTGATTTTTTTGACATCTTCTCTAATATTTTTTAATTATTTTATTTTATAAAATCATCTTCTTAATTCATACCTTTTCAATTAAATAAATTCAACTCTTAATTAATTAGTAAAGTCTACAACTCCTAACCTTTTATATTCATAACCTTAAAAAATATACAAATTTATAACTCCTTAAAATCATGCTATAAAAACCTCTTTTCATTGGGAGTAGGAACTAACAATCAAGCGGAAATGGAAGCAGCTATATATGGACTTCGTTGGTGTGTGCAACAAGGCTTCCAACATGTCATTCTTGAAGTAGATTCTGAATTGCTCTCTAAATGGGTTAGTCATCAGATGAAGCCCTCGTGGAACCTTCATAATTTTAATCAATAGCTAGTGGAGATTACGAGAGTGTTCCACTCTTTTACTTGCATTTATGTCTATCGAAAAGTTAATTTCACGGCAGATGTTTTATCTAAGCATAGTCATACACTTACTTCTCCAGGTCATTACACTACTACCCATCAGCTTCCTCACGATGTTAAAGGTTACTACAAACTGGACAAGATTGGTCTAGCTAGCCTCAGACGAATGAAGACCATTAGGATAAAAAAACCACCATAATCCGCGCTTCAGTTTGCTTCGAAACTTGTGCATTCATTTACTCTTTTATTGTCTTCTTGATAGGTTTCTAGTTTTCGTATAGGTTCTCTTTTTCTTGTTTCACTTGTAAAGGGAGAGTCTCCCTTATTTATGT